TCACACCAAGCACGCGCACACACCCCACCAAGCAAGCGCACACACCCACCACCAAGCAAGCGCACACACCCCACCACGCAAGCGCACACACCCCACCAAGCAAGCGCACACACCCCACCAAGCAAGCGCACACACCCCACCAAGCAAGCGCACACACCCACCAAGCAAGCGCACACACCCCACCAAGCAAGCGCACACACCCCACCAAGCAAGCACACACACCCTACCAAGCAAGCACACACACCCCACCAAGCAAGCACACACCTCACACCAAGCACGCGCACACACCCCACCAAGCAAGCACACACACCCCACCAAGCAAGCACACACACCCCACCAAGCAAGCACACACACCCCACCAAGCAAGCACACACACCCCACCAAGCAAGCACACACACCCCACCAAGCAAGCACACACACCCCACCAAGCAAGCACACACACCCCACCAAGCAAGCACACACACCCCACCAAGCAAGCACACACACCCCACCAAGCAAGCACACACACCCCACCAAGCAAGCACACACACCCCACCAAGCAAGCACACACACCCCACCAAGCAAGCACACACCCCACCAAGCAAGCACACACACCCCACCAAGCAAGCACACACACCCCACCAAGCAAGCACACACACCCCACCAAGCAAGCACACACACCCACCAAGCAAGCACACACACCACCAAGCACACACCCCACCAAGCAAGCACACACACCACCAAGCACACACACCACCAAGCAAGCACACACACCCCACCAAGCAAGCACACACACCCCACCAAGCAAGCACACACACCCCACCAAGCAAGCACACACACCCCACCAAGCAACCACACACCCCACCAAGCAAGCACACACACCACCAAGCAAGCACACACACCACCAAGCAAGCACACCCACCCCACCAAGCAAGCACACACCACCAAGCAAGCGCACACACCCCACCAAGCAAGCACACACACCACCAAGCACACACCAAGCAAGCACACACACCAAGCAAGCACACACACCCCACCAAGCAAGCACACACCACCAAGCAAGCGCACACCCACCCCACCAAGCAAGCACACACACCACCAAGCACACACCCACACACCACCAAGCAAGCGCACACCCACCCCACCAAGCAAGCACACACACCACCAAGCACACACCCACACACCACCAAGCACACACCCCACCAAGCAAGCGCACACACCTCACCAAGCAAGCACACACACACCACCAAGCAAGCACACACACCACCAAGCAAGCACACACACACCACCAAGCAAGCACACACTTCACCAAGCAAGCGCACACACCCCACCAAGCAAGCACACACACACACCACCAAGCAAGCACACACACCCCACCAAGCAAGCACACACACCCCACCAAGCAAGCACACACTTCACCAAGCAAGCGCGCACACCCCACCAAGCGCGCACACCCCGCCAAGCAAGCGCACACACCCCACCAAACAAGCGCGCACACACCACCAAGCAAGCGCGCACACACCACCAAGCAAGCGCACACCCCCCCTCCAAGCAAGTGCACACACACCACCAAGCAAGCACACACCCCCCGCCAAGTAAGCGTGCACACCCCGCCAAGCAAGCGCACACACCCCGCCAAGCAAGCGCACACACCCCACCAAGCAAGCACACACACCAAGCAAGCACACACACCAAGCAAGCACACACACACCAAGCAAGCACACACACCCCACCAAGCAAGCACACACACCAAGCAAGCACACACACCACCAAGCAAGCACACACACCACCAAGCAAGCACACACACCCCACCAAGCAAGCACACACACCACCAAGCAAGCACACACACCCCACCAAGCAAGCACACACACCCCACCAAACAAGCACACACCACCACCAAAGTAGGCTACTCACCTTTCCTTGTGAGTAGCCTACTTAAGATGACCGGAGCGATGTTGCATAAGATCCACCTCAATGATAAGTCGTAAGTGCTCACAACTCTTAAGATTAGGCTACGAATCCGGTGATATTACCGTAACTATTATTGTAAACTCTTCTAAGAAGTCTTCCCGTAGGCCTATATTCTACAGCCTACTGGTCTTAAAAAAAATAGCGAGATAGCATAACTGAGCCGCTGACTTAGTTAGTAGCCTAGCGCACATTTTATGAAATATATAAAATACAAAAAAAAATAATATTTTGCTCCTTTGCTGCTTATTGGCTAAGCAATTTAATTAATTTCTACCCAAAATACCTCCATTCGTTTTAGAGTAATTTTGTTAACAGCCACACAACCATTAGATTGGCTGGGTCACGACCATACCTGGGGGGGGGGTGTAGAACCCCAGAAACCCCCCCCCCCCCCAGGTAAAGAGGAGAGAGAACAATATGCCATCCCATAGGTCAGGGCGGGGTAACGACACCGTTATGAACGCTACAATGATCGTTAAACAGTGAAAAACTGCACTATTATGATGTTTTTGCGATCTTAAAACTAGCAAAAATGACACGAATACAACGGTAATCTTAAATCCCGAGGAAATGGTGCTAGCGTAACTCTACAGTGATTTAGAATAGTGAAAATGGCGCCATTATGCCATAGTGATCCCAAAATCAACGAGAATAAAGTGTACTTAGGTGTATTATACAGCGCTACAGCCGGTGTATTATACAGCGCTACAGCCGGTGTATTATACAGAGCTACAGCCGGTGTATTATAAGGCTACAGCCGGCAACTCTATCCTGCATCACAATAACATTAAGGATGTGTCACTGAGCAACCCGTTCTCGCACTTGCTTATAGTCAATATCTTGCTTATGAATAAGTGCATATGTGACATACGAATTTATTGTGAATATTTGAGTTTACCTTGAAAAGCTGAATAGAAAACACAACCTAACCTTCTTAGTATGTTAAGATATTACAATTAGTACTTAACCTATACCTATATTGATATTACAGTTTTATAAAAATAATAAAACAAAACTAAAATATTTAAATAAATTGTAAAGTAACTCGGGATATTGTCAATTTTTTTGTATAAAATCTCTATTGTTTAATAAAACAGAGAAAAAGTTAGTGCCTTGAAAAAATATGATTTGGAATATGTCACACATATACTTATTCATAAGCGAAATAGTGACTATAAGCAATAAGTCATATATGTGCTGTCTTGTGCGAGAGCAGGTTGCAACCAGAACATTATCAGTAAGAGCCATGAGCAGGATTCGAACCTGTTCTTTCGATCTTTTTGACCTTGTCGTGGTGTAGTGGTGTAATGCGTGTGTTTGGGAGTACCCAGAGCCTAGGTTCGAATCCTTCCCTCATGACTCCTACTGATTTTCTTCTTTTTTCTATTTGGCAGATGTACCTCGCTTTTCCCCTTCCCTTCCTTTTTCAATCCTGAAGAATAGATAGGCGTCACACCAGCAGTAGTCCGGCGATAGAAATTGTAAACGGCTAGGCTATTCTATGCTATATTCACATTAAAATAGCGCCGTAAGTGCACCTATAACTGGCTATAGCCATGAAATCAGCTCTGTAAAAGCAATATTCTGTGTTATATTCCGTGGGGCTATATTGTCAGGTAGATTATACAAGGCAAAAAAATCGTTTAAGATCAAATTTTAGGTGTAGCCAATAAGTAGCCCGGAACTAATACGAGGGGCCTCGTAGCCTGGTGGATAGCGCGCAGGACTCGTAATTCTGTGGCGCGGGTTCGATTCCCGCACGAGGCAGAAACAAATGGGCAAAGTTTATTTCACCATGAATGCCCCTGTTACCTAGCAGTACATAGGTACCTGGGAATTAGTCAGCTGTCACGGGCTGCTTCCTGGGGGTGGAGGCCTGGTCGAGGACCGGGCCGCGGGGACACTAGAAAAAAAAACGAAATCATCTCAAGATAACAGATAACAGGGCGGCCCCAGCGCCCATCAGCGCCAACGAGTGATTAACGTCTTGAAGGAAAGGTTACCTTACCTTGCGTTGATTTCCGGACTCAACGTCCCTGCGCCCCGGTTCTTGACCAGGCTTTGGAAAGGGAACTATCAGGAGAAAGCGCCAATTCACTATGACTATATAGCACTGGGAAGGAATCAGATTAATGATTTGGGATATGACGGGGGGAAAGGAATGGTGCCCAACCCCTCGGACGGTCGGGGGATTGAACGCCGACCTGCATGAAGCAAGACCGTCGCCCTCCCGTCTCTCTGTTGACGGCACAGTGGCATAGATTTTAGTTCGGGTTTGAGTTCCTGCCGTCTTGCGCTATGGCCCGACGCCCTTCACAAGACGGCAGTAACTCTTAACAAGAACTAACATACTCCCAAGTTCAGAGAACTTGCAATCGCCAGACCGTCATCTCACAGCGCGTCTATTTATTGCACTCTGGCGTCACTCACTGCACACAGTGTAGTGAGTGACCTCGTAGCCTGGTGGATAGCGCGCAGGACTCGTAATTCTGTGGCGCGGAATTCCCGCACGAGGCACAAACAAATTGGCAAAGTTTTTTTTCACCCTGAATGCCCCTGTTACCTAGCAGTAAATAGGTACCTGGGAGTTAGTCAGCTGTCACGGGCTGCTTCCTGGAGTGTGTGCGTGGGGTGTGAAAAAAAAACGTAGTTAGTAAACAGTTGATTGACAGTTGAGAGGCGGGCCGAAAGAGCAAAGCTCAACCCCCGCAAACACAACTAGGTGAATACAGTTACAGCCCCGTTCCTGAGCCACTACGGGCTCACCATAGCCCGTGCTACTTGGAACTTTCTGTTCCCAGTAGCTGAATCATCATCATCATCGCTCGCTGCTTCAAACTCCCTCACAACCCCCACCTGTGATACGGTCTTGTAGCGCAGAGGTCTCAAGTTACCGACTCCACCAATCATCTCGGTTTTGATCGCTGTCGAAGGACAGAAGCGTTTGGGTCATGTTCTTTTCACCTGATTAATGCACGTACGTGGAGTAATTTCCTAGTGCCTGCGCGCCGGAAGCTCTCGTGAGGTGGACTATACGTTAACGACTCTGGTTATGTCCGCCTGGGTAATAGTTCCAAGACGGAGGCCAACAATGGTGTACATCCAGGCGAGGGCGGAAGAGCCACGGGCGAGGGCGGAAGAGCCACGGGCGAGGGCGGAAGAGCCACGGGCGAGGGCGGAAGAGCCACGGGCGAGGGCGGATGAGCCACGGGCGAGGGCGGAAGAGCCACGGGCGAGGGCGGAAGAGCCACGGGCGAGGGCGGAAGAGCCACGGGCGAGGGCGGAAGAGCCACGGGCGAGGGCGGAAGAGCCACGGGCGAGGGCGGAAGAGCCACGGGCGAGGGCGGAAGAGCCACGGGCGAGGGCGGAAGAGCCACGGGCGAGGGCGGAAGAGCCACGGGCGAGGGCGGAAGAGCCACGGGCGAGGGCGGAAGAGCCACGGGCGAGGGCGGAAGAGCCACGGGCGAGGGCGGAAGAGCCACGGGCGAGGGCGGAAGAGCCACGGGCGAGGGCGGAAGAGCCACGGGCGAGGGCGGAAGAGCCACGGGCGAGGACGGAAGAGCCACGGGCGAGGGCGGAAGAGCCACGGGCGAGGGCGGAAGAGCCACGGGCGAGGGCGGAAGAGCCACGGGCGAGGGCGGAAGAGCCACGGGCGAGGGCGGAAGAGCCACGGGCGAGGGCGGAAGAGCCACGGGCGAGGGCGGAAGAGCCACGGGCGAGGGCGGAAGAGCCACGGGCGAGGGCGGAAGAGCCACGGGCGAGGGCGGAAGAGCCACGGGCGAGGGCGGCGTGTGGAGCTGCAAACAATGATGAATGGGAGTGATCATCAAGGCGCAAGAAAGCCAGAGGCAGAGTTACTGGCAGGGCAGGGTCAACAGGGAGGCAACGGCAGGGAAGGGTCAACAGGGAGGCAACGGCAGGGCAGGGTCAACAGGGAGGCAACGGCAGGGCAGGGTCAACAGGGAGGCAACGGCGGGGCAGGGTCAACAGGGAGGCAACGGCGGGGCAGGGTCAACAGGGAGGCAACGGCGGGGCAGGGTCAACAGGGAGGCAACGGCAGGGAAGGGTCAACAGGGAGGCAACGGCAGGGCAGGGTCAACAGGGAGGCAACGGCGGGGCAGGGTCAACAGGGAGGCAACGGCGGGGCAGGGTCAACAGGGAGGCAACGGCGGGGCAGGGTCAACAGGGAGGCAACGGCGGGGCAGGGTCAACAGGGAGGCAACGGCGGGGCAGGGTCAACAGGGAGGCAACGGCGGGGCAGGGTCAACAGGGAGGCAACGGCGGGGCAGGGTCAACAGGGAGGCAACGGCGGGGCAGGGTCAACAGGGAGGCAACGGCGGGGCAGGGTCAACAGGGAGGGAGGCAACGGCGGGGCAGGGTCAACAGGGAGGGAGGCAACGGCGGGGCAGGGTCAACAGGGAGGGAGGCAACGGCGGGGCAGGGTCAACAGGGAGGGAGGCAACGGCGGGGCAGGGTCAACAGGGAGGGAGGCAACGGTGGGGCAGGGTCAACAGGGAGGCAACAGCAGGGCAGGGTCAACAGGGAGGCAACGGCGGGGCAGGGTCAACAGGGAGGCAACGGCAGGGCAGGGTCAACAGGGAGGCAACGGCGGGGCAGGGTCAACAGGGAGGGAGGCAACGGCGGGGCAGGGTCAACAGGGAGGGAGGCAACGGCGGGGCAGGGTCAACAGGGAGGGAGGCAACGGCGGGGCAGGGTCAACAGGGAGGCAACAGCAGGGCAGGGTCAACAGGGAGGCAACGGCGGGGCAGGGTCAACAGGGAGGCAACAGCAGGGCAGGGTCAACAGGGAGGCAACAGCAGGGCAGGGTCAACAGGGAGGCAACAGCAGGGCAGGGTCAACAGGGAGGCAACAGCAGGGCAGGGTCAACAGGGAGGCAACAGCAGGGCAGGGTCAACAGGGAGGCAACAGCAGGGCAGGGTCAACAGGGAGGCAACAGCAGGGCAGGGTCAACAGGGAGGCAACAGCAGGGCAGGGTCAACAGGGAGGCAACAGCAGGGCAGGGTCAACAGGGAGGCAACGGCAGGGCAGGGTCAACAGGGAGGCAACGGCAGGGCAGGGTCAACAGGGAGGCAACGGCAGGGCAGGGTCAACAGGGAGGCAACGGCAGGGCAGGGTCAACAGGGAGGCAACAACAGGGCACGGTCAACAGGGAGGGAGGCAACGGCAGGGCAGGGTCAACAGGGAGGGAGGCAACGGCAGGGCAGGGTCAACAGGGAGGCAACAGCAGGGCAGGGTCAACAGGGAGGCAACGGCGGGGCAGGGTCAACAGGGAGGCAACAGCAGGGCAGGGTCAACAGGGAGGCAACGGCAGGGCAGGGTCAACAGGGAGGCAACAGCAGGGCAGGGTCAACAGGGAGGCAACGGCAGGGCAGGGTCAACAGGGAGGGAGGCAACGGCAGGGCAGGGTCAACAGGGAGGCAACAGCAGGGCAGGGTCAACAGGGAGCCAACAACAGGGAGCCAACAACAGGGCAGGGTCAACAGGGAGCCAACAACAGGGCAGGGGTCAACAGGTAGCCAACAACAGGGCAGGGGTCAACAGGTAGCAAACAACAGGGCAGGGGTCAACAGGTAGCAAACAACAGGGCAGGGGTCAACAGGTAGCAAACAACAGGGCAGGGGTCAACAGGTAGCAAACAACAGGGCAGGGGTCAACAGGTAGCCAACAACAGGGCAGGGTCAACAGGTAGCCAACAACAGGGCAGGGTCAACAGGTAGCCAACAACAGGGCAGGGTCAACAGGTAGCCAACAACAGGGCAGGGTCAACAGGTAGCAAACAACAGGGCAGGGGTCAACAGGGAGGCAACAGCAGGGCAGGGGTCAACAGGTAGCCAACAACAGGGCAGGGTCAACAGGTAGCCAACAGCAGGGCAGGGTAAACAGGTAGCCAACAGCAGGGTAGGGTCAACAGGTAGCCAACAACAGGGCAGGGTCAACAGGTAGCCAACAACAGGGCAGGGTCAACAGGTAGCCAACAGCAGGGCAGGGTTAACAGGTAGCCAACAGCAGGGCAGGGTCAACGGGTAGCCAACAGCAGGGCAGGGTCAACGGGTAGCCAACAGCAGGGCAGGGTCAACGGGTAGCCAACAACAGGGCAGGGTCAACAGGTAGCCAACAACAGGGCAGGGTCAACAGGTAGCCAACAACAGGGCAGGGTCAACAGGTAGCCAACAACAGGGCAGGGTCAACAGGTAGCCAACAACAGGGCAGGGTCAACAGGTAGCCAACAACAGGGCAGGGTCAACAGGTAGCCAACAACAGGGCAGGGTCAACAGGTAGCCAACAACAGGGCAGGGTCAACAGGTAGCCAACAACAGGGCAGGGTCAACAGGGAGCCAACAACAGGGAGCCAACAACAGGGCAGGGTCAACAGGGAGCCAACAACAGGGAGCCAACAACAGGGTAGGGTCAACAGGGAGGCAACAGCAGGGCAGGATCAACAGGGAGCCAACAGCAGGGCAGGGTCAACAGGTAGCCAACAACAGGGCAGGGTCAACAGGGAGCCAACAACAGGGAGCCAACAACAGGGAGCCAACAACAGGGAGCCAACAGCAGGGCAGGGTCAACAGGTAGCCAACAACAGGGCAGGGTCAATAGGGAGCCAACAACAGGGCAGGGTCAACAGGGAGGCAACAGCAGGGCAGGGTCAACAGGGAGCCAACAACAGGGAGCCAACAACAGGGCAGGGTCAACAGGGAGCCAACAACAGGGCAGGGTCAACAGGGAGCCAACAGGGCAGGGTCAACAGGGAGCCAACAACAGGGAGCCAACAACAGGGCAGGGTCAACAGGTAGCCAACAACAGGGCAGGGGTCAACAGGTAGCCAACAACAGGGCAGGGTCAACAGGGAGGCAACAGCAGGGCAGGGTCAACAGGGAGCCAACAACAGGGAGCCAACAACAGGGCAGGGTCAACAGGGAGCCAACAACAGGGCAGGGTCAACAGGGAGCCAACAACAGGGCAGGGTCAACAGGGAGCCAACAACAGGGCAGGGTCAACAGGGAGCCAACAACAGGGCAGGGTCAACAGGGAGCCAACAACAGGGCAGGGTCAACAGGGAGCCAACAACAGGGCAGGGTCAACAGGTAGCCAACAACAGGGCAGGGGTCAACAGGTAGCCAACAACAGGGCAGGGGTCAACAGGTAGCCAACAACAGGGCAGGGGTCAACAGGTAGCCAACAACAGGGCAGGGGTCAACAGGTAGCCAACAACAGGGCAGGGGTCAACAGGTAGCCAACAACAGGGCAGGGGTCAACAGGTAGCCAACAACAGGGCAGGGGTCAACAGGTAGCCAACAACAGGGCAGGGGTCAACAGGTAGCCAACAACAGGGCAGGGGTCAACAAGTAGCCAACAACAGGGCAGGGTCAACAGGGAGGCAACAGCAGGGCAGGGTCAACAGGGAGCCAACAACAGGGCAGGGTCAACAGGGAGCCAACAACAGGGCAGGGTCAACAGGTAGCCAACAACAGGGCAGGGTCAACAGGTAGCCAACAACAGGGCAGGGTCAACAGGTAGCAAGCAACAGGGCAGGGTCAACAGGTAGCCAACAACAGGGCAGGGTCAACAGGTAGCCAACAACAGGGCAGGGTCAACAGGTAGCCAACAGCAGGGCAGGGTCAACAGGTAGCCAACAGCAGGGCAGGGGTCAACAGGTAGCCAACAACAGGGCAGGGGTCAACAGGTAGCCAACAGCATTGCAGGGGTCAACAGGTAGCCAACAGCAGGGCAGGGGTCAACAGGTAGCCAACAACAGGGCAGGGGTCAACAGGTAGCCAACAACAGGGCAGGGGTCAACAGGTAGCCAACAACAGGGCAGGGGTCAACAGGTAGCCAACAGCAGGGCAGGGGTCAACAGGTAGCCAACAGCAGGGCAGGGGTCAACAGGTAGCCAACAACAGGGCAGGGGTCAACAGGAAGCCAACAACAGGGCAAGGGTCAACAGGTAGCCAACAGCAGGGCAGGGTCAACAGGTAGCCAACAACAGGGCAGGGGTCAACAGGAAGCCAACAACAGGGCAAGGGTCAACAGGTAGCCAACAGCAGGGCAGGGGTCAACAGGTAGCCAACAGCAGGGCAGGGGTCAACAGGTAGCCAACAACAGGGCAGGGTCAACAGGGGGGTAAAGTACTCCCAAGAGCTTGGGTCAATCTCCGTGTCGTAGGTGTTTACCTAACGTTAGGTATAACGCCATTAGCTGGCCCCTCGTTACTAATGTTACTCAGTGAGGAATATTGACCATCCTAGTGACGTATTAACACACTACAAGGTGCACCAGTATTGACCCAGCTGCCCCCCACACCATATGAAAGGTTACGCAATATGGGTCAAGAGCTGGGGCCAGATTCACGAAAGCACTTACGCAAGCACTTACGAACGTGTACATCTTTCCTCAATCTTTGACGGCTTTGGTTACATTTATTAAATAGTTTACAAGCATGAAAACTTCCCATTCAACTGTTGTTATTGTTATAAACAGCCTCCTGGTGCTTCGGAGCTCATTAACTGTTTAATAATTGGAAACAAAGCCGTCAAATATTGGGAAAAGATGTACAGGTTCGTAAGTGCTTGCGTAACTGCTTCGTGAATCTGGCCCTGGCTAGATGGTACTAATGGGATCATCAGTCTGTCCTCTTGAGCGTTCACAACGTCACTAAAATATTGTACTAAACTGGCCGAAACTAACCGAACCGAGGACTCCGAAACTAACCGAACCGAGGACACAATAGAAAACGGGACGTCACCTCAATTTAACGAGCCAGTATGATTTTTAGTACATTTTTGGCTTTTTTTGTTGCGATTACTAACAAAGTTTGTTACTTTGGCCTTTGGAATGTTACGATTCCATTTCAATGTTTCCGATTGTATTGATAAATTGAATTTTCATTTATTTCAATTTTTTTAATTTTGATAATTATTTTGAGTGACATTGCAATGGAACTGAGCCGAGTTGTTTACCATATTGTTCATTTCGTGAGTATAGTTTATTTTTTTATTGTTTCATTTTTTTTAACTTCTTATTTTTCAGTGATGGGAACATCAGATCATTTGGGAACGCATCGAACGAGGGAGTGGGGAGGACGAGGGGATGGGGGAGGGGGTAATGGTGGAGACGATGAGATGGGGGGAGTGAAGAATGGTGGGGAGGACAAGGGGACAGGAGAGTGGGGATGGTAGGGAGGACAAGAAATGGAGAGGGGGGGGGGGAATGGAGGGGAGGTCGAGGGGACAGGGGAGTGAGGGATGGTTTGGGGGGGGGGACGGGGGAGTGGGGAATGGTTGGGAGGACGAGAGGATGGCCGGGAAGGGGCAAATGGTGGGGAGGATGGGGGGACAGGGGAGGGTTGCTGAAGCCCAGCAACTCGCATGCATTGCTGAGCCACAGCAACGCGTGGCCAGGTACAGCTAGTATAATAAATAATATATTAATTTATATATATATATATATATATATATATATATATATATATATATATATATATATATATTAAATATGACCGAAAAAGTAAGATTAATAATTCTAACACGAATTTTCTCTATCTTTCGTACATTTCTTTTCACTGCTGGTGGTAATTCAAAAATCAATTCTCCAAAATTCATTTTTATTTCTAGTCTGACGCGACACTTGAGTGCGTTTCGTAAAACTTATTTTATTTTCAAAGACTTTAGTCTACACATACACAACTGAATAGAACTTACACATCTTCGATTTGTTTATATCTACATTTGAGTGAGGTGGATGGGGTGAGGTGGTATTAATAGGGTATTAATTTCATCAACACAAGACAGAACACGAAACAATGGGTATTGAATGGAAGTGATTGTAGAAAGCCTATTGGTCCATATTTCTTGATGCTTCTATATTGGAGAAGAGTCTTGAGGTGGGTAGAATATAGTTGTGCATTAATTGGCTGTTGATTGCTGGTGTTGACTTTTTAATGTGTAGTGCCTCGCAAACGTCAAGCCGCCTGCTATCGCTGTATCTATCGATGATTTCTGTGTTGTTTACTAGGATTTCTCTGGCGATGGTTTGGTTATGGGAAGAGATTATATGTTCCTTAATGGAGCCCTGTTGCTTATGCATCGTTAAACGCCTAGAAAGAGATGTTGTTGTCTTGCCTATATACTGGGTTTTTTGGAGCTTACAGTCCCCAAGAGGGCATTTGAAGGCATAGACGACGTTGGTCTCTTTTAAAGCGTTCTGCTTTGTGTCTGGAGAGTTTCTCATGAGTAGGCTGGCCGTTTTTCTGGTTTTATAGTAAATCGTCAGTTGTATCCTCTGATTTGTGTCTGTAGGGATAACGTTTCTATTAACAATATCTTTCAGGACCCTTTCCTCCGTTTTATGAGCTGTATAAAAGAAGTTCCTGTAAAATAGTCTAATAGGGGGTATAGGTGTTGTGTTAGTTGTCTCTTCAGAGGTTGCATGGCGTTTCACTTTCCTTCTTATGATGTCTTCGACGAAACCATTGGAGAAGCCGTTGTTGACTAGGACCTGCCTTACCCTACAGAGTTCTACGAAGAACTCTGTAGGGTAATCAATCAATCAATAAGTTCTATTCAGTTGTGTATGTGTAGACTAAAGTCTTTGAAAATGTAATAAGTTTTACGAAACGCGCTCAAGTGTCGCGTCAGACTAGAAATAAAAATGAATTTTGGAGAATTGATTTTTGAATTACCTCCAACAGTGAAAAGAAATGTACGAAAGATAGAGAAAATTCGTGTTAGAATTATTAATCTTACTTTTTCGGTCATATTTAATAATATATGTCTACAGGAAAGACTGCTACCAAAATATACTATATATATATATATATATGTCGTACCTAATAGCCAGAACGCACTTCTCAGCCTACTATGCAAGGCCTGATTTGCCTAATAAGCCAAGTTTTCATGAATTAATTGTTTTTCGGCTACCTAACCTACCTAACCTAACCTAACCTAACCTTTTCGGCTACCTAACCTAACCTAACCTATAGAGATAGGTTAGGTTAGGTTAGGTAGGGTTGGTTAGGTTCGGTCATATATCTACGTTAATTTTAACTCCATTAAAAAAAAGTTAACCTCATACACAATGAAATGGGTAGCTTTATCATTTCAAAAGAAAAAAATTAGAGAAAAAATATTAATTTAGGAAAACTTGGCTTATTAGGCAAATCGGGCCTTGCATAGTAGGCCAAAAAGTGCGTTCTGGCTATTAGGTACGACATATATATATATATATATATATATATATATATATATATATATATATATATATATATATATATATATGTTCATCTTTATATAAGTTATATATATCGCGTCAGGATATATACAAGTTGTACTGAACGGGGTGAGAATAGCTTGAGCTACCTCATCGGTATTTATACCGTACTAAACTTATTTAAGCAATTTGTTTCCTTAAATACACACGATGGATAGTAATAATCAGTTTACATTAACAAAGTACTCATGTTTTGCAACACTAGCAACACGCGCAGCACTATGGCCACAGGCGAAGGTTTAGGACAAGGGTGGTGGACAGCCCGCCTGCTCTCATACCTCTCACTGTATTTCCCACTTCTTAACTTCCCTTCACCTATGCCTCTCCTTCCTCTTTACTAAAAAAAAAAGGTGGTGGTGGTGGTGGAAGGAATACGGTCGCCGCCACCACTACTGGTCTGGCCCGCCCACTCTCTCTCGTCTAGACTTCGATACCAATCTTGACTCCAAATGTGTACACAAATGCGCGTTTCAGTATGGTCTGTGCTACAAGTGCGAGGCTCGGTCAGTCGGGTTAGCCTCAGCATCACTGGATCAGGCCAGTAGCTGGGCGAAGGAGTCCTCGGCCACTGCCCCACCCGTGGCTGGGGGGCGTCACGGTAAGCCACAGACACGCATCTTAACACCCATTTATGAGTTTCCATGCCGAAAGTGAGCTAGGAGAAAGTGTAATGAAATTAACTGTGCTGCTTGATGCTCTCCCTCCCATGATGATGATGATTTATAAGCTGATGTTTAGTATATACAAGTTATATAAACTTTCAGCTAAAGAATGACGCTACCAACAAATATGTGGTACACTCACCCAATTTGTAACAGTAATTACTGTTGGGGACATGCCCAACATAGTGAGGTTTTGGTTGGCATCAATGAAACGAGTGCCACTTGACATGGTGTCATAACACTTGCAATGAATCTTGCAATATAACACTGAATTTGTCTTACTATATTATGAAACATTATACACTGATGTCTGCAAAATTTTAAAGAAAATGCAATCACACTTTGCCAATAATAGGTCAATACGAGTTCATGATATAATCAACATTGGGTCTCCTAGGGAGCCGGTCGGCCGAGCGGACAGCACGCTGGACTTGTGATCCTGTGGTCCCGGGTTCGATCCCGGGCGCCGGCGAGAAACAATGGGCAGAGTTTCTTTCACCTTATGCCCCTGTTACCTAGCAGTAAAATAGGCAACTGGGTGTTAGTCAGCTGTCACGGGCTGCTTCCTGGGGGGTGGAGGCCTGGTCGAGGACCGGGCCGCGGGGACACTAAAAGCCCCGAAATCATCTCAAGATAACCTCCTATCATCATAGTTCCTCCCATCCCTCCATCTCCACCCTTGCAAGAGTCAGCCGTTTGCTTAATCACCTGTTGGAAATACACATCACTGCACGTGTGTAAGCCGCCATATGCCCAGGCCTTCTCTCTGCAATCTTCCCATCCTCATCCACACATCCAGAGACAAAATGGGATGGGGAGACAGACGGGGATAGAGAATGAGGGAGAGTCCATAGCATCCAGCTGTTAGAAAATTAACGGGATGTTTTCCAATTTAAACTAGTGATTAGATCTTGCTATGGGAAGGGAAAGCTCTCAGCCAACCTTCCTTGTGTAGGTAGGCGGGGCACTGGTCTGGGGTACTGGTGTGGGGGGACACTGGTGTGGGGGGACACTGGTGTGGGGGGGCACTGGTGTGGGGGGGCACTGGTGTGGGGGGGCACTGGTGTGGGGGGGGCACTGGTGTGGGGGGGCACTGGTGTGGGGGGGCACTGGTGTGGGGGGGCACTGGTGTGGGGGGGCACTGGTGTGGGGGGGCACTGGTGTGGGGGGGCACTGGTGTGGGGGCACTGGTCTGGGGCACTGGGGTGGGGCACTGGTGTGGGGGCACTGGTGTGGGGGCACTGGGGTGGGACACTGGGGTGGGACACTGGTCTGGGACACTGGTCTGGGACACTGGTCTGGGACACTGGTCTGGGACACTGGTCTGGGACACTGGTCTGGGACACTGGTCTGGGACACTGGTCTGGGACACTGGGGTGGGACACTGGTGTGGGACACTGGGGTGGGACACTGGGGTGGGACACTGGGGTGGGGCACTGGTCTGGGACACTGGGGTGGGGCACTGGTCTGGGACACTGGGGTGGGGCACTGGTCTGGGACACTGGGGTGGGGCACTGGTCTGGGACACTGGGGTGGGGGCACGGGTCTGGGGGCACGGGTCTGGGGGCGACGGGTCTGGGGGCGACGGGTCTGGGGGCGACGGGTCTGGGGGCGACGGGTCTGAGGGCGACGGGTCTGAGGGCGACGGGTCTGAGGGCGACGGGTCTGGGGGCGACGGGTCTGGGGGCGACGGGTCTGGGGGCGACGGGTCTGGGGGCGACGGGTCTGGGGGCGACGGGTCTGGGGGCGACGGGTCTGGGGGCGACGGGTCTGGGGGCGACGGGTCTGGGGGCGACGGGTCTGGGGGCGACGGGTCTGGGGGCGACGGGTCTGGGGACGACGGGTCTGGGGACGACGGGTCTGGGGGCGACGGGTCTGGGGGCGACGGGTCTGGGGGCGACGGGTCTGGGGGCGACGGGTCTGGGGGCGACGGGTCTGGGGGCACGGGTCTGGGGGCACGGGTCTGGGCATTCAGGGCACCTGGCTGTAAACCCTCCCCCCCCCCCCCACAACGCCCCCGGAAGGAGCTCAAGACAAATGCTCGCTTGATTTGATTCACTGTATACGTCAGGCTGCGAGCAGCAGCGTCCAACAGCCTGGTTGATCAGTCCAGTAACCAGGAGGCCTGGTCGACGACCGGGCCGCGGGGACGCTAAGCCCCGGAAGCACCTCAAGGTAACCTCAAGGTAAGGTATAGAACACCATCTTGCCTTATTTCAGGAATAATTGTAACAGAATGTAATTGATTTAATAATAATAATAATAATTTATTTAGGAAGAGTACATACATAGTTGCAGCGTTACAGTACAAACATTGTTGGATTTAAAGATAGAGGTAGTACATACAATACCTAGAGCCACTAGTACATACAATACCTAAAGCCACTAGTACGCATAGCGTTTTGGGCATTTCAATAATAAAGTGTGGCAAGGTACACCCGCAGTTCCAGCGCCTTCCTCTTGTCATTCCAGTGGATATATATCAACCAAAGCCTGTCTGACCCGATGCATATCAGTGATCCTCCAAGCTATAAAGCAACTAAAAATAACATTCAAGCTAATTGAAGTAATTGATAATAATTTAACATCTGTCCCTTAGTAATCAACAGAGTAAAGATCTCGAGTCCCTTTGAGTGATGTCTCTGACATCCCCTAACGAGCCATCGACAATAACTACAAGTAATTATAAAGAGAGACTGCTAAGTCTTCTGTTACGAAAGGGGGGGGTGAAGAACTGTTGGGGGGAGCTGAAGAACTCATAAAAATTTGCATAAAGTTAAAAATTTTATTATTATTATTTTCTACCACAGACGTGGCCAGACATTTAAAAAGTGGAGAACATTGCACAGCAGGGAGTGACAGTGAATCCACTGGAGGGAGAGACAGAGGTCTTAAGGTAATGTGTGTGATCTCTGGGGTTTTGTTTCATGTCTAAATTCCTTAACTCTTGGCCAGTGTTAGACTAGGATTTATAAATGGTGATTAGCATAATTTTGTTCTCAATAAAATCATGTTAAATTTCCCGTCTGTGTCAATTGTTGAATCCTCTTAGCCTTTTGGATATAGTTGGCTGACAACCATCCCATAATTAATGACAGTTATAGAAAGTACTCTCCAAGTCAAGCAATGTTTCTTGCCTCGTTGCTTGATATAGTCTCAATGGTCAAGGCAGATGGTGGCAGCGTATTTAATCCTGTGAAGCATTTCTTTGTTGGCAGTGTACCTTTTGGTTCCGGTGTAACCAACATATGTCAGCTCATATTACAGTGTTCAATAACAGTGTTACAAAGGGCAACTGATAGGAAGTGTTACTCAGGATAAGTAGTGTAGTACTTACATAAATAGTTTAGTATACATTTTATAGTTCATATTTTATAGTGGTGTTACATTATAGTGGTGTTACATTATAGTGGTGTTACATTATAGTGGTGTTACATTATAGTGGTGTTACATTATAGTGGTGTTACATTATAGTGGTGTTACATTATAGTGGTGTTACATTATAGTGGTGTTACATTATAGTGGTGTTACAACAGAGGGTAATTGCAGTACTTTTAAAATGCTAATCTAACCTACAGACATAAATACATAAATACACAGATTTAAATCTGCCCCACATAAACAGTGTTTGATATGTCTTTTTTTTACATAATGCCATTAATGTGCGTTTACAAGGCTAACTTAATTAGCCTCGGCATACCGTCCTTGCAGTTATATCCAGTACAGTGTCTTGACCTTATCAACCCCGTGGGTTTGTAAGACCCACGGGGTGGTCAATATATATCAATCAATCAACTGGTTCCCCCCCCCCCCAACCACACACACAGAGGGAAAGCTGCCTGTACCTATGTTCAGACCCATGTATTCACCTAGTTGTGTTTGCGGGGGTTGAGCTTTGCTCTTTCGGCCCGCCTCTCAACTGTCAACCAACTGTTTACTAACTACTTTTTTTCCACACACCACACACACCCCAGGAAGCAGCCCGTGACAACTGACTAACTCCCAGGTACCTATTTACTGCTAGGTAACAGGGGCATTCAGGATGAAAGAAACTTTGCCCATTTGTTTCTGCTTCGTGTGGGAATCGAACCCGGGCCACAGAATTACGAGTCCTGGGCGCTATCTACCAGGCTACGAGGCCCCTGGGTGGGTGTGTACCCGTGTTCAGACCCCCGTGGGTGTGTACCTGTGTTCAGACCCCGGTGGGTGTGTACCCGTGTTCAGACCCCGGTGGGTGTGTACCCGTGTTCAGACCCCCGTGGGTGTGTACCCGTGTTCAGACCCCCGTGGGTGTGTACCCGTGTTCAGACCCCCGTGGGTGTGTACCCGTGTTCAGACCCCCGTGGGTGTGTACCCGTGTTCAGACCCCCGTGGGTGTGTACCCGTGTTCAGACCCCCGTGGGTGTGTACCCGTGTTCAGACCCCCGTGGGTGTGTACCCGTGTTCAGACCCCCGTGGGTGTGTACCCGTGTTCAGACCCCCGTGGGTGTGTACCCGTGTTCAGACCCCCGTGGGTGTGTACCCGTGTTCAGACCCCCGTGGGTGTGTACCCGTGTTCAGACCCCCGTGGGTGTGTACCCGTGTTCAGACCCCCGTGGGTGTGTACCCGTGTTCAGACCCCCGTGGGTGTGTACCCGTGTTCAGACCCCCGTGTGTGTGTACCCGTGTTCAGACCCCCGTGGGTGTGTACCTGTGTTCAGACCCCCGTGGGTGTGTACCCGTGTTCAGACCCCCGTGGGTATGTACCCGTGTTCAGACCCCCGTGGGTGTGTACCCGTGTTCAGACCCCCGTGGGTGTGTACCTGTGTTCAGACCCCCGTGGGTGTGTACCTGTGTTCAGACCTCCGTGGGTGTGTACCTGTGTTCAGACCCCCGGTGGGTGTGTACCTGTGTTCAGACCCCCGGTGGGTGTGTACCTGTGTTCAGACCCCCGTGGGTGTGTACCCATGTTCAGACCCCCGTGGGGGTGTACCCATGTTCAGACCCCCGTGGGTGTGTACCTGTGTTCAGACCCCCGTGGGTGTGTACCTGTGTTCAGACCCCCGTGGGTGTGTACCCATGTTCAGACCCCCGTGGGGGTGTACCCGTGTTCAGACCCCCGTGGGTGTGTACCTGTGTTCAGACCCCCGTGGGTGTGTACCCGTGTTCAGACCCCTGTGGGTGTGTACCTGTGTTCAGACCCCCGTGGGGGTGTACCCATGTTCAGACCCCTGTGGGTGTGTACCTGTGTTCAGACCCCCGTGGGTGTGTACCCATGTTCAGACCCCCGTGGGTGTGTACCCATGTTCAGACCCCCGTGGGTGTGTACCCGTGTTCAGACCCCCGTGGGGGTGTACCCATGTTCAGACCCCCGTGGGTGTGTACCCGTGTTCAGACCCCCGTGGGTGTGTACCCATGTTCAGACCCCCGTGGGTGTGTACCTGTGTTCAGACCCCCGTGGGTGTGTACCCGTGTTCAGACCCCCGTGGGTGTGTACCTGTGTTCAGACCCCCGTGGGTGTGTACACAGGTGTACAAAGGTCAAGTGTTACACTACAATAGTCAATAATTACAGCAGGTTGACCCCAAGCACCTCATCATGCCCCTGGGTGCCGGGTCGACCCCATCCATCTACCCATACATCTATCAATCTATCCATATATGCATCTATATATCCATCTATGCACCTACCTATCCACCTTTCCCTCGCTCGATCCATCTATAAATTTATTCATCTATCTATTCATCGATCTATACATCAATCCATACATCCATCTACCTGTCCATCTATCCAGCCATCAAACCATTAATCCTTCAATTCATCCATGTACCTATTTATCCATCCAATTTTCTATATATATATATATATATATATATATATATATATATATATATATATATATATATATATATATATATATATATGTCGTACCTAATAGCCAGAACGCACTTCTCAGCCTACAATTCAAGGCCCGATTTGCCTAATAAGCCAAGTTTTCATGAATTAATGTTTTTTTCGTCTACCTAACCTAACCTAGCTTTTTTTTGGCTACCTAACCTAACCTTACCTATAAATATAGGTTAGGTTAGGTAGGGTTGGTTAGGTTCGGTCATATATCTACGTTAATTTTAACTCCAATAAAAAAAATTTACCTCATACATAGAGAAAAGGGTTGCTTTATCATTTCATAAGAAAAAACTATAGTAAATATATTAATTCAGGAAAACTTGGCTTATTAGGCAAATCGGGCCTTGAATAGTAGGCTGAGAAGTGAGTTCTGGCTACTAGGTACGACATATTATATATATATATATATATATATATATATATATATATATATATATATATATATATATATATATATATATATATATATATATATATATATATATATATATATATATATATATATATATATATATTATATATATATATTATATATATATATTATATATATATATATATATATATTATATATATATATATATATTATATATATATATATATATATATATATTATATATATATATATATTATATATATATAAATATATTATATATATATATATATATATATATATATATATATATATATATATATATATATATATTCTACTATTGCCATGTTGATGGTCGCTAGTGGGAGGAGCTTAGAGTGAAATATTACAAAATACAATAGTTACTCCATTTACGTTGAGGAATACAATAGTAACTGCATTTACGTTGAGAAATACAATAGTTATTCCATATATTATTCATACATGAAAGCACACACATTTCCTCACATCACTTGAGCATGCTGGGGTTGTATCAGTAACATTTGTGCGTCAAGCTTGAATGGTCCCCAAGCCAACATGCATCAGAAAACGCTAGACCCCTCTGAAGGATTCGAACCCGGTCAGCCATGCCCCTTGGCGTGTCCAGTTTTTGATAATATATGTCATACCTGCTTGATAATAAGGGGCCAGATT